TAGGCCAGGATTTATTGACATTTTGGGCTAGGTAATTCTTTGATATGGGTGGCTGTCCTGTGTATTGTAGGATGTTGCTCGTCATCATCCCTGGGTCTATCTACTAGATGCCAGTAGCATTCCCTAGCTGTGACAGACAAACAGATATACAGACATTGCCAGATATACTTTGGGGAGACTGGAGGCAAAATCACCCTGTCAGCCTTCTTGAGCACCACTGTATTATTCCATCTTTGAGTTATAATATATGTATATGTAATATTAAAGGAGCCCTGGTGGTCCAGTGGTTAAGTGTTTAGCTGCTAATCAAAAGGTCACTGGTTAGAATCCACCAGCTGTTCTATGTGAGAAAGATGGTGGTCTACTTCCATAATGATTTATGGGTTTGGAAACCCTGTGGGGCAGTTCTACTCTGTCTTGTAGGGTCGCAAATAGTTGGAATCAACAGAATGGCAGTGGGCTTAGTTTCCTGTGAGTCAGACTTAAAAAAAAGGAGAAATATTGCAGCAATCTTCATGTTAAGGGCCAATGAGTTGGCTCTGACAAACAGCATCCCTATATACAACAGAACAAAACTGCTTGAATGAGCGCCATCCTCACAATCCGTGTGTGCTTGAGCCTATTGTTGCAGCCTATGTTAATCTATCTCATTGAGGGTCTTTCTCTTTTTTGCTGACTCTCTACTTTACCAAGCATAATAACCCTCTCCAGGGACTGGTTTCTTCTGACAACATGACCAAAGTATGTGAGAAGTCTGGCTATTCTTGCTTCTAAGAAGGATTCTGGCTGCATTTCTTCCAGGACAGTTCTGTTCATCCTTCTGGCAGTCCATGGTATTTTCCATATTCTTTGCCAATACCACAATACAAATACATCAACTCTTCTTCTGTCTTCCTTATTCATTATGCAGTTTTCACATGCATATGAGGGGATTGAAAATACTATTGCTTGGGTTAGGTGCATATTAATCTTCAAAGTGATATCTTTGCTCTTTAACACTTTAAAGGGGTCTTTTACAGCAGATTTGTCCAGTGCAATACGACATCTGATTTCTTGACTGCTGCTTCCATGAGTGTTGACTGTGGATCCAAGTAAAATGAAATCCCTGACAACTTCAATATTTTCTCCATTTATTGTGATGTTGCTTATTAGACCAGTTGTGAGAATTTTTGTTTTCTTTATGTTGAAGTGTAATCCATAATGAAAGCAGTAGTCTTTGTTCTTCTTCAGTAAGTGCTTCAAGTCATTTTCACTTTCTGCAAACATGGTTTTATCATCTGCATATTGAAGTTTGTTAATGATTCTTCCTCTAATCCTGATGCCACAATTTTCTTCATATAGTCCAGTGTCTCAGATTATTTGCTCAGCATAGAGACTGAGTAAGTATGGTGAAAGGACACAACCCTGATGCATACCCTTCCTGATTTTAAATCATGCAGTATTCCCTTGTTCTGTTTCAACTACAGCCACTTGGTCTATGTATAGGTTCTGCATGAGCACAATTAAGTGCTCTAGAATTATTCTTCACAATGTTATCCACAATTCGTTATGATCCACAAAGTCAAATGCCTTTGTATAGTCAGTAAAGCACATGTAATATCTTCGTGTATTTTTTGCTTTCAGCAAAGATCCATCTGACATCAGCAATGATATCCCTCATTCCACCTCCTCTTCTGAATGCAGTTTTAATTTCTGGAAATTCCCTGCAACTGTTTTTGAATTATCTTCAGCAAAATTTTACTTGCTTGTGATACTAATGCTATGGTTCATAATTTCCACATTCTGTTTGATAAACTTTGTTTGGAATGGGTATAAATATGGGTATCTTCCAGTCATCTGGCCAGGTAGCTGTCTTCCAAATTTCTTGGCATAAATGAGTAAGTGCCTCTACTCTGCATCGTGTTGAAACATTTCAGTGTTTTCTATCTATCTATCTATCTATCTATCTATCTATCTATCTATCAATATTCTTTCAATCCCCAGAACCTTGTTTTTCACCAATTTCTTCAGTGCAGCTTGGACTTCTTCCTTTAATACCTCCTAAAATAGTTGGACATCGACCAATTCTTTTTTGATATAGTGCCTCTGTATTCCATCCATCTTCTTTTGATGCTTCTTGCATCATTCAATATTTTGCCCACAGAATCCTTCAGTATTGCAACTTGAGGCTGGAATTCTTTCTTCAGTACTTTTTGCTTGAGAAATATCAAGCATGTTCTTCCCTTTTGGGTTTCTAGCTCCAGGTCTTTGCACATTTCATTATAATGCTTTGTCTTCTCAAGCTGCCCTTTGAATCTTTTGTTAAGCTCTTCTCTTTCATCATTTCTTCCATTCACTTTAGCTGTTCTCCATTCAAAAGCAAGTTTCAGAGTCTCTTCTGACATCCATTTTGGTCTTTTTCCTGTCTTTTTAATGATCTTTTGCTTTCTTATATGATGTTCTTGCTATCATGCCACAACTCATCTGGTCTTCGGTCACTGGTGTTCAACACATCAAATCTATTCTTCAGATGGTCTCTAAATTCAGGTGGAATATAATCAAGGTTGTATTTTGGCTCTTGTGGGCTTGTTTTAATGTTCTTCAGCTTCAACTTGAACTTGCATATAAGGAATCGATTGTCTAGCAGTCCAGTAGATGGTGCTATATATACACTAATTCATCAAGCATGTCTAGATTTGGTTTTATGTGACTATACCTTTCCCAGCATATTTCTCAGTGCTTTTGAAATAATCTGAATTGAACTAAATATGAAATGAAAGATACCTGCCAAATTTTTTTTTTCAGAAAATTTCAAGTCTAGTGCAAATAGCTACTTATGATTCAAAACATATGCATTTCTTGTCCAAGCAACTTGGCACTACACAGAGCTCAATAACACTACTACTTGTAGATACAAATAACCTGAAATAAAAACATTTTTAACTTTAATTTATTTAATACCCACTGGGGCCGATATGGGAGCTCTGGTGACATAGTGCCTAAGGCATTTGACTGCTAACCGGAAGGCTGGTGGTTCAAACCCACCAGGCACTCCCAGAAGGAAGATTGAGCAATGTACTTCTGTACAGATGCCACCTTGGAAACCCAAGGAAGGGTCGCTATGAATTGGAAGTAACTTGATGGCAGTGAGTTTGGTTTTTTTGGGGGGCTGATATAGTCAGAGATGAGTTTTGTGTCTAATGCTTAGCAATCTAAGATATTAAGAAGGCAGAAGTTAGGACACTGAAATTCTTTCTGGTGCACCAAAAGAAAGCACTATGACTTGGAAGTCTAGTTATATAACATTTAGAAAGGAAACTTGGCTATTATATTCTATGATGTGTCATGTTAGAAAGAGAAGTTTTAAGGGGACATTTAAGCAATTATTTCAAATTGGAAAATTGTGAGATTCGCAGATGTCCTGAAATTGATAATAATTTGGAATAAAAAGCTTACAAATATCCTTATCTTCCACAAACCTTCAAGTTAGTTTACCATTATGTGTGAAGAATCTCACTGCAGTTGTTACAAGTATTGTTTTTGTTTTTTGACTTTTTAAGGAAAAAGGACTGTTCTTGACCCTCATCAGAGCTGCCCTTGTATAGTAAATAGGTAAGAGGAGAGTAGGGTGGGGTAGTGGTTCATAATAGGTTGAGACTACTATATTACATACAGTTCCACATCCTATGTAAAACATCATCTGAATGAATATAAGTAAAATGCTCCAAGGGGCAGAGGTTAGTTAGAGAACAGGAAAGTAGAAGTCAAAGACAGAAGTTAAAAAAGAGAGACAGAGACAGAGAGGAAAAATGGATACCTTTGTTGGGTCTTGCCCTGATGTTACCCATCTACCTCTATTAATCAATTAAAATATTAATAACTGGGCCATACATATTTTTTCCAGATATTTTTCCATCAAAATAATGGAGAGAGCGGAAGAGTGAGTACAAATGGAAAGGCAAGGACACTGGGTTGCTTATGTAAACACACAGTTCCACTTCACAGTTTGGTCTAGGGCAAGGTCTGACTATGAAATATGTATTTCCTCCATAACTCTCTCACTAAGAACAAATAATTTATTTTCCTTTATATAATGCAGACTTACTGGTAAAATTTCTTATTAAACAAATGCAAACTAAAATAACTGATTGAAAGATTTAAAGATAATAAGAAGCAACAAGGAGAATGGTGAAGGAGATCCCTTGATACTTCCAGCCAACAGCATCACACCACGGTTTAGATTTGTAAGGTCAGTCTCACTGATGTGCCTCAGGTTTCCCAGAGGTCTGAATCTCCCCTGTTCTACAGAACCTTTTCATAAATTGTCTGGTTTCCCTCCTTTGGCTACTTTCTATCCCACCTCCAAATTAACAGATGTCCTGTGGAGAAACAAATATTCCTTTGTAAAACATATTTGGAGAACACTACATACTAGACCCTCTTCTTAGAGATTTCTGGTGTACGTGGACATGAGAAACAGTATCAAAATACCTGAGAGGTTCTGAGAAAGGAAAATTTGTGTGACTTATCTTAGCATTTCCCAAATCCCCTAACAATATTGTCCCATCGTCACCCCCAGGGATACCTATTAGAATTTCACAGGTCACTAGTATTCTCGAATAGAGTGTTTGGAAAATGCTAGTCTACATATAAAAGTATAACAATATTTTCTTGCCATAGTTAAAGGACTGTGAAAATATAAAAGACTTACCAAAGAGGCCTACTTAAAATCCTGAGAGTTGAGATTTTTGCTTAAATTTGGCTTCTTGGTACAGTTATTTAGCTTTTGCCCTATCATTCTCCTAATGGAAACATCGTCTGTATTGGGAAATAACTGTTTTGTGGCTCCTGTGAGGAAAAAAAAATTACACAGAAAAACTCATTATGTGGCCTTTGCATTTCAAGGTATAAACTGGGGAAAAACATCAAGCATTCCTCATTGTAATTCTGTCTCCATTTTGCAAAAGCTGCCCAAACACCAATAAGATATTTAAATTGATTAATATATAAACAGGCTTTTCAAAGCAAAACAGGACTTATCAGAAAATCTGTATTATACTTTGAAAACATACACATTTGTCTTTCTATGGTACAACTCAACTTTAATCCTACTACTTGCTATGAACTCTAAGTCCCGTTGTTCCAAAATGTTAGGAGTTTGTTTTTATCCATTCCCAACATCAATTGAAAAAACTAGATTCTGACTAACTCTTTGATCCAAGAAATGATGTAATATTGAAATATATAGAGCTAGGATTCAGAGAATCCCTAAATTTGTTGAAGTTCACCAAAGAAATTTCTCTATCAACTGTTGTTGTTGTTGTTATGTGCCGTCAAGTCGGACCAACCCATAGCGACCCCTCCTTGGGTTTCCGAGGCAGTATCACTACGGAAGTAGATTGCCCCATTTTCCTTCCAAGCTTTATCAACTAGGTAATTATATTTACAGAGATTTACTAATGTCAAAACCATAAACAGGATAGTCTAATTAACGTCTATCTTTCTAGAATAAAAAATGTGGGATGTAACCAAGATAAGAAAGAGAGAACAAAGACATAATTTGTTCCTAAAATTTTATTTGAAAAGGTTTTGAAATTTTACTTTTCTGAAGCTATGAATGTAATGTCATTCAAACTTTTCAGTAACACAAAATTTAGTTCTATTTCAATAATCATGTTTAATATAGTTTTTCTATAAAATTCCAAATATTTAATATGAGTATTATTTAGACTATGCTGAGATTTTTCTTTCATAGAAAAATGAATCTGAAAAAAAATGAAGAACCATGGAAGAATAACCTAACCTTAAATGATAAAACAATATCAAATTCATGTGATGATATAATGTAATCTTATTATCACCTATGATTTCTTGAACTTCATTCTGATTCATAGCTGGTTTCACGGCTTTGTCCCTTGAAGTAGAGGATTTTGCCCCCGTCAGGCTGTGTGTGGCCATATATTCATTTGTGTAAAGTACTTGCATTAAATCATTAATAAACTTCTGAGGTTTGCTCTTATTACAACGGGCAATCTGCCATTTTTCAATCTTGAACTAAAAAATTAAAATAATAATTGAAATTGGAAAAAAAGAAATATCTGGTGAAATGTATTACTAATTGAATTAAGACTATTAATTGAGTTAAAACATACAAGAAAAGAGTATCAACATTCTTTAATGTTCAAATACAATGTCTTATATTTTTAATACATATTTTTACATTTCAGGGTTAGAGTTAAATGGTCTCTTTGAGATAATTCCTAAGGTTTATGAGGTATTTGTTCCAGATTATATACAAATTCTTCATATAATCTAATGTCTCTGAGTGGTGCAAGAGGTTTGTGCTGTACCACTGACCTTAAAGTTGGCAGGTCAAACTCACCCAGTGGTGCCATGGAATAAAGACCTATTGAGCAGTTCTACTCTGTAGCACATTGGGTTGCCATGAGCTGGAATTGACTCAATGGCAATGGGTTTGGTTTTATAATCTGAATTGGGAGCTTTAAGAATTAGTCTCATCCTCAACACTTAATACTAAGTGTGGCAGGCAGAATAATGGCCCTCGGATCTGTACAGCCTAATCTTTAGATCCTGTGAATATGATATTTCACATGGCAAAATAACTTTCTAGGTATGATTAAGGTTAAAGATTTTGACCTGGGGAGATTATCCTAGAACCAATCTAATCACATGAGTTCTTGAAAATGGAAGAGGGAGGCAGAATAATAGGTCAGAAAAGTGCTACAGAAGAAGGAGAAATGTAAAGAGTTAGAGGGACTTGATCTGCCATTGCTGGCTTGAAGGAAGACACCAATAAGTACAGTGGCCTCTAGACCTAGGAATGACTTTCATTTTACAGCCAGCAAGAAAATGAAGACCTCAGTCCTATCACCGCCTGAACTGAATTCTGCACAAACTGGGATGAGTAGGAAACAGACTTTCCTCTAGAGCCTCTGGAAAGGAAGGCAGCTACTGACACCTTGAATTTAGTTTGGTGATACTCATACCTGACTTCTGACGTACAGACTGTGAGGTAATAAATTTGTGTTGTTTGAAGTCACTAAATTGTAGTAATCTGTTACAGCAGCAACAGAAAACTGATACTCTAAGATTCAAATATTTAGAATGTTAGCTTACAAGTTTGCATTTAATTACAGCTTTTGAAAGCATATTTACCAATGCTGATCCTTAGTTCTAACAAAGCTCTTGTCATTTAGCTTTTGTTTCTTGATTAAGAGAAAATGGGAAAATAGACAAAGAATTGTGTTTAACCAGCACAAAGAGCATGAAATTTACCTTCTTTCATGTCCTTCTGTTACTGGTTTTAGAGTTGATGCATCACTTAGCATATTTTTATGAAAATAACACACACATTAGACAGTTTTTGCAAACCATACAACCCCCTCGTGTGTTGATTTTCTATATGTGCTATGTGGATTGTATGTGAAAAATATTGTACTATAGACATTAATAGTTTAATAACTTTGTCAACGTCTGAAATTTGACTTTAGCTTTCTAAACTGGGTACTTGTTACTCAAGATGATTGCTACCTAAAGTTATCTGATAAAACATTTTCTCCCCTTACTGTAATTTTTATATTTAAAAAACAATAGGGCAGGTTTTCTAACTAACCTGTTTCTCATCGGTATGATGCTCCTCCTCCGCCTTCAAGGAAATTGGTGAACTGGAATTAGAATTACTGCACGTTGAGGCAAATGAATCTGGTGAAGAGTTATTTGTTGCTCTCCAGAGGGTAGCTGTAGATGTAGACACAGTTCCTCCACCCTTCAGCAGGGCCTCAGCCATACCTACCAGTTCTTCAAACTGGGTGACAGCCTGGGGTAGCACTAAAATGTCAAGAAAAAGTAACATTTTACAAAATACTGTTAATAATAGGTGTGCATATACATACTTTTTATTGGGTGTATATGCATAGAAATAGATAAAATATCCCCTAATTGTTAACATTTGTGAGCCTTGAAAATAAACATGGTAAGAAGGGTGGTTTGAACATGTTTACCTTTTATTACTGAATAATTTGAAACTACTTAATAATAATAGCAAATTAATTTAAAAACATTTGGTTATTGTATTTAAAAAAGGAAAAAAACCCATCTGGTTATTGTATTTAAATATGTATGCATTAAAAAAAAACCCATTGTTGTCAAGTTGATTCTAGTTCATAGCAACCCTAAAAGACAGAGTAGAACAGCCCCCTAGGGTTTCCAAGGCTGTAAATCATTACTTAAGCAGACTGCCGTATCTTTCTCCCATCCAGTGGCTGGTGGTTTCAAATGGGCAACCTGTCAGTTAGCAGCAGAGTGCTTAACCACTGCACCAGCAGGGCTCCTTGTATATGTATTACTTTGCATCTAAAAAGAACATTTTAAAAGTTGATTCCTTTTTGGTTTTTTCTAAAAATATAATTTGAAGGTGTTTAATCTCTTATTTGGAGATATTACTGATTCTAGTAACAATCACCTTCCAGAAGCTCACATTAGGCCAGTTAAAGTGCCAAGATAAAATAAGACATCCTTCACAGATTAAAATGACCTTTGTATATGGTTTACTAGGAAATCAAATCCTATTAAATTAACAAAAATTCACTACCATAATTCAAACCTGTTTTCACATTTTAAAAATGAATTTTGGTAATCAACTGAATGGTCTCTTGGTTTCTTCTCCTCTTTTAATGGAAACTTACACATTCAAAGGTTTCATGCCTCCTTGTAAAATGGTCTTCTTTGTTGTTATATCTAGTTTCCTAAGGACAAATAACATTTTGTTGGAGTGGGATGAGACCTTGGACCCTATCTAATTCAACTCCTCATTCTATGGTTGAGGGCACTGCCTGCTGGAGAGGTAAAAAGACTGAAACTTTTTAATACTTTTCTTAAGCCTATTTTATATTGAAGTAAAAGCACACTAAATCAAACCAATAGAAAGATACATGAGATCAAACCAGGGAAACATTTTCAGTTATGCTGACAGCCCAAAATGCTTGTAGTTTTTCGAAGATAGTTTTTAATGCCATGGGAAGAATGCTCACGATGTTAAAATGAAAAACAAGAAAAAAAAAACAACCAAGAAACAGTACCATATGTGTAGTATGATCTCAACTATGAAATAATTTTATATTTATACATTGAGAAAAAGACTGGAGGAATACGCACCAAACATGTAACTGGTTATCTCTGTGTAGGAATTTAACAAAATATTGATGTCCTTGTTTTTCTGACATTTCCCAAAAAATTAATACTTATAATCAGAGAACTAGTGAAAAAAGTGAAACTTCATGTAGAACTACTCCCCAACTACCAGTGCATTGCTAAGTGCTAAGACAGTGACTGGCATTGAGCAATGGCTACATGACTTTCTTTGTTACCTCAATGAAAACAAAATGTCCAAGAAAATGTATTCTAGGTTCAAGACAATTTTCTAACAGTGATGTTGAAACTTCAGTTAGTAAATCCTACCCATGCCCCCTGACATTTCAGTAGGTAATACCTAGGCTTCTAATACAGAAAATGTCAACTTTTCATCTAAATTTTAATGTTATCTCAGTTGCTTTATGGTTCTAGTTCTCAAAGCTAGTTTGAATAAAGGGTGAAATTGGGAAATTTCAATCTTCAGAGGAAATTTATTAAAGATAATTCTTTGAAACAATCAATTTTAAGCAATTAAGAAGATTGATTTGGTGCATTAAACTCTTGCCTCTTAATTTTCAAATAAAACACATTTCACTGTTAATATTTCATTTCACTTTAAAATAATATTTGACTTAAGAGCTGAAAATTAGGCATCTTAATGACGTGTCTAAATCAGTATATCTGATATTATATTAACACAGAAAGTAGTAGTTTTTCCTTTAGTAGGAAAAACTCTTATTTTCTATTCTTTCAATAAATATTTACCAAGCATCTCTCGTGTGCCAGGCTTTTATTCAATCAACAATTATTTATTGAGCATTTAGTAAAATTAACTGTTTATTTAGCTTTTACTGTGTGTCAGACACTATTCTGAGAGCTTTACTAATGTTCATTCATTTAATTTTCATTGTACCTCTTTGAGATAGGTATTGCCATTACCCTCAATTTACAGAGGAGGACAATTAGGTGAAAGGTTAACTCACTTTTTTGGGGTCATCCAGTCAGTAAAAAGAAGAGCCAAGATTCAAATTTACACTGTCTGCCTCACAAATCCATGCTATAAACTACTGTCTAATGCAACCTCTCGTATTTACCAATGACCATGCTAGATGCCGGGAATAAAACTGTGAGCAAAAACAGGTGTGGTCTGTGTCCTTTTAGAGCTGAGAGTCTAGTCCAGATTATTTAAATTATCATGAAAGTTAATGAAAAATTATAATTAAGTGCTACAAAGGAGAGGCACAAGGTTTGACCTAGCATGGGATTGGAAGGGCTTCCTTGAGGAGGTCAAGACTGATCTAAAAGCTTAAGGCTTATCAGAAATTAAATAGCTGATGGGAATGAGGGAGACATGAACATAGGAAATACAAGTTTGTCATTTGAGGAACTGCAGGAAGACCAAAGCTAGAATGCAAAGAAGGAAAGAGAATTTGCTATGCATTGAGGATTCGAAAATGTGTACAGGCAATCTCTGAGTTACAAACGAGATTGTTCCTAAGTATTTCTTTAAGTCGAATTTGTAGGTCAGTCTGAACAGGTGAATATGGGTCTTATTTAGCCTTACTTTAGTGTAAGAAAGGAGCTCTGGTGGCGCAGTGGTTAAGGCATTTGGCTCCTAACCAAAAGGTTGGCAGTTCAAACCCATCAGCTGTTCCATGGGAGAAAGATGTGACAGTCTGCTTCTGTAAAGATTCATAGCCTTGGAAACGCTACAGGAAGTTCTACTCTGTCCTATAGTGTCTCTGTGAGTTGGAATTGACTCAATGGCAGTGGGTTTGTTTTGGTTTTAGTGCAAGAAAATGATTTAAAACCTGTACATGCAGCAAGTGAAGGTGATCGTGGATGAAGAATTTGTTGCAAGTAGGGGTTGATTAAATCATTTCAAAGCGAGGGCAAATTCACATAACATTAAAGAGCAAGTAGAGTAGTTGACAAGTCGGCTGTTTGTAACCCAGGGAGTTCCTGTACTGTTTATTTCTTATGATGAAAGTTGGCATGCATGCTTCTTGCCGTTTCTAACTGTGCATCTCTATCTATACTCATGTATTTTTTATACATAATTAGGACTAAACTATATAAACAGTGTTGTATCTTGTTTCTTTTTTCCAATTAAGACTGTAAGATTTATTTTGCTTGCTTTATTAAATGTTCTTGGAAAATATTATTTTTTGAGGTCTAATTTACTTACAGTAAAAGGCAAGATCTTTTGTGAAGTCTGAGAAGAAATTAGAAATTAAGTAGATAAAGGGAATGAATATGATGACTATACCTGGGTAATGCACACCCCATAAAGACATATAATATTTCCAACCTCCCACAAAGTTCCCTCATAGCCTTTCTAAGTCAATCCCTGGTCTTCCCTCCTGACTTCTTTAATCATAGATACATTTTACCTGTTCTAGAATTTTATATAAATGAAGTCAAACAGTGTGTACTCCTCTTTTGAGGGGAGGAATGACTTTTTTTCTCTCTGCATAATGTTTTGAGATTCACTCATGTTGTTTTGTGTATCCAAAGTCATTCCTGAGACATATTCCATTATATGGATCGTCCTACAATCAATGTGTCCATTCACCTGTCAATGAGTTATTTTACGTTTGCAAACATGACTTTAATGTTTTCTTAATGTCCCAGTGTGTCTTTTTCTAGAATTTATTTATATGCTGCTGTTTTTCTTTTTGGAGATTAGGCTGCTTCCAATTTTTCTTTATTGCAAACAAAACTCTGACAAACCTCTTAACACATAAATCTTCATATACATCTCTGATCATGTCAGTACTGTAAATTCCTGAAAGTGTAATAACAGGGTCAAAAACAATGGTTTTAAGATTCTCTTCATATTAAGGAACTGCTCTCCAGCAAGATTCTCTCAACTTACACTCCCACTAACAATGTAAGAAATTGGCCATTTTACTGCACCAGCAATAGCAAGTGTTAGTCATTAAGTATCATCTTTACTAATTTGACAATTAAACTCTGAGTAAAATTTAAATAGTAATTATTTGATTATTGTGAAGTTAAACATATATCTGTTTTGATTATTTTAATTTCTTCCATGAATTATCTATACAGCATGTGATATTAATATTTTTCCTACTTTATAAGAACTTAAATGATTTTTGTACAGTGCTTAGAAGAATACCTCAAACTTTATAAGCACAATTTATTAGCTATTATTATTACCTCCCATATATATTAAGCTTTTTAAATTGTGATATGTATATACATATGTGTGTGTGTATATATATATATATATATATATATATATATATAAATGTATATGTATAAAACAGAGCATTAGCCATACAATATTTTTACATGTACGATTAAGAGAAATTAATTACATTTATCCATGTTGTCCTACTATCACTACATTTGTTTCCAAGTATTTCTATCACCCTTAACAGAAAATCTGTGGCCCCCTAGCACTTCCCTTTTCCCTCCTCTTACCCCTAGTAACCGTTGTATATTAAGCATTTTAAACTTTTTATCTGTTTTAAGTTGCAAATATTTTTCCCAGAGTGTTTAATTTTTAATTTGATGATATTTTTAAAGCACACATACATTTAAAAGTTTTATTTTAGTTCAAAATAGCTATCTTATCTTTAGAATAACCAGTTGTCATTCAGTAGATTCTGACTCATGATGACTCCATGTGCATCAGAGTAACACTGTGCTCCATAGGGCTTTCAATGGCT